GTGAATGTTAAGTTTAAAATGTAACTGTTTTGAACTTAAAATCATTTATAACATATTCATTTAAAATTAATGTAGCTGCGAAGCACGTTATGTTTTTCACCTTAAGTTATATATCAGTTAACTTAGCATTTCTCTTTTCTTAAATGTTCATAAGAAAATCACCTTAAATTGAGAAGCACATTATGTTTTTCATTATGTTTTTCAACAATTTCTCATTATGTTTTCATTCTTTATTTGAAAAGATAAATCCTTCACAATGTTCAATTTTTAATTCTGTTTTTCAATAATTTTTGCAGCAAGAGCACGTAAATATTCACCTTCCAACAGCAAACTACTTATGCAAGACATTAGATGCTAGTGACACAAGCACTACGAATAATTGATATGTTGAATTTTCTTGTAAAACATTTGAAGATTTACAGTTGCACTATAATACCATTCATGGCATTTATTTACATGGCTGATTTGCACTTTTATTTACAAATTTTTTATAATAAAAGTAAGTATCAAATAACCGATTAAACTCATCTATATTAACCCGTCAACTTATAAAACCGAACTCGAACAAACCAAGTTACAAATCAGTTGAAATTGGGTCTAACAACTGGACTCATGGCTTGGGACAGTTTGGCATTTTGGACCCAAATTATACGCAATCAGATTTTTTCGCTGTCCTCTTAATGTTGCTATTAATATTTCTACTGATTATGTACATTTTTAAAAAAACGCAGTGGTAGATATTTCATACAAGTCTCATAATAATGGATGCTTTAAGTTTGATTCTACTAGAACTAAGTTAGAGAAAGAGGGACGAAGGAGACATAGGGTAGAAGCAATTGGTTCAGTCCTTTGAAATTTCTTCTAAAAAAACAAATTAATTGATTAACATATTTTTAATGAAACTTTGAGAAATTAATTAATAAAACAAAGTTCAATTGACTATATTATATGCAGAATTTTAATTATAAAAATAAATCTGATTGTTAATCTTGCACACATAGAGTATAATAGCATAATGACGTACCAAAGAAAAAAAAAGTTCAACCATCTATTGTATATAAAAGATTTGAAATAAACCTCACATCAAACACCGAATCCACGTTCATTAACGCGTTTAAACAAAATTTTCAGACATGTGTAAACGTTTAGTCATACATTTAAAAGTCGGGTTTTATCAATCTAGAATATCGTGATTCACTTAAACTGCTTTCTCATTTCTCCTTCCTTCTTTAAGCTTTTGCGATCGACTTTCTCGTAAAAATATTTCGCTCTTGTCAATTATTGATGGAGGTTTCAGGGTTTCTTTGTTGCTATTATAGAAGCAAATTAGGTCAAAAATTAAATGTGATTGATCTATTTCTGACATGATTTTGAAGATTGAAATTTGATTGAGATTTGATCCATAACTTGTGAACAAAATTATGAATTTGACCTTGTTTAAGACTTTTTAAAATATTGGGATGAATTTGATAAGATTTTATTTATTTATTCCAAATTTGACAATTAAGTGCATAAAAATCAAATATTTAAAAATAATAACAATAATTTTAAAATGACCTTAACATAAAAGCGAAAATAATATTAAAATAATTAAAAAATGACTTTTTTATTTTTTTTAATGAAAAATACAAATACAAAAAGTAGTATAATGAAAATTGAGTCCACGATATTACACTTAAACTCTTTTCACACACTCTTTTACCAATTGCGCTATCTTAATCATTCAAGATAAAAATAACTTTTAAAAATTATGATGGGTGGTACACATTTGCTATTAAGAAAAATATAAATAATCTAACACAACATATTATATATTTTTTTCTAAATAAACCTAAACTAAATAAATTAATATTAGAAATACTAAGTATATAAAAGAAAAGATTATAAGTGAAAGGATGATAAATAAATAAATTTATTATTTTTAAACAATAATTTTATTTATCATATCAAATAGAAACTCTCACTTCGAGACCCCGTAGTATTTTAGGAGTTAGATGACTGAATATTTGGCTACGGATAATGAAGAAAATGGAGAGTCAAATTCTAGGTATGGCAGTAAGTTCAAACTCTTATCCACTTGATTGTCATATCACCTCCTTCGAATGGGGATAACCAAAATCATAAGAAAATTATAATCCCGTCTTAGAAGCTCGATGCAATGCATGATTGTGAATTCTATGATAACGCATATGAATGTGAAACATAAGCCATATAAATGTCAAATCAAAAGGTAAATTTTGGGGTGCAACAGATGTCCCTATTTAATCATCTTATACTTGAAAGTATGAATAGCAACGCTTTCAGACATTCGAGGTGGAAGAAGATTAAATATCAAAAACCAAAAATTTATGCTTTGGATAAAACAAAGGTGGAAAAACATTGATAACTGCATTTTTTTTGTATTTTCTAAAATGATGATATGAAACAAATTGGGTTGTAATAAGCATAAAGGAAGTAAAAACCATTGGATACTAGACTTTACCAAAGAGTGTCAGTAGAAACTGTTCGAAAGGTGTGCCCATAAATATTAGAAACCAACTCAATAGGACTAGTAAATACCAGACTCTAGAAAGGGACGCATCAGGGAAGAACTGATTTGCAAACAAAGGTAACGAATAGATACTCGCCCTAAGAAGAACTAGTAGATACTAGACTCTAAAGATACCAATAGATATTGGATTCGTAAGAATGTGTCAGGTAGAAACTGGTGCACAAACAAGATAATGAGTAGAAACTCGACCCAAAAAGACTAGTAGATACTAGACTCTAAGGATACCTTGGATCCAAAAGGATATACCAGTAGAAACTTGTCTCGATCAACACGGGTCGATAGACTTTGAACCAAACAATTAGAATGTTTAGCCAAACATTGGGGGATCGAGCAAAGATAACGAGTAGATACTAGTCCTAAGAGAGTATTATAAAGAGTGTGTCAGGTAGAGATTGATGCATAAACAGAGAGTTTTGCTCCCAACTATGTGTGGAGGAGTATTTTATACGCCAGAGACTTGGTTATGAAGGGATCTAGGTGGTGTATCGGAGATGGAACGAAGGTGGAGATTTGGGAGGATAATTGGATACCAAATGAGGAATGTTTCAAAGTCACAAGCGCTAGGGGGGCTCAACCCATAGAAGTTATGGTTTCTTACCTTATTGATCAAGATTTGGGAGTTTGAAAGTGGAATTTGGTGGATTCATTATTCATTCCGTGAGAGGCCAAGCGAATTGCAAGCATTCCTCTATCGAGAAATGGACTTGAGGACAAACTGACGTGGCATGGAGAGAAACATGGTGAATACTTTATTCAATCTGCTTGTCATCTGTTAAGAAGAAGGCGCGAAAGACAGAATAAAGGTCCTTCTTGTCCAACTTACTCCACTCTGTGGAAGAAGTTACGGAAAGCTCTAGTTCATACGAGAATTTAAAATTTTCTGTGGAGATTCTGCAAAAATATTCTTTCCACCAAGACAAACTTGTTGAAAAAAGGTATGTCTTTTGATATTGATTGTCCTCTGGATCACAAAAAATGTTGAAACTTCTCAACATGTTTTTTTGACTTATCATTTTACTCAAAGTTATCTGGTTCTCCTCCCCTCTTGGTCTACATATACGGTCAAACTCGAATCCTTGTTTATGGCTTGAAAAGGGTCTTGACGCAAAGGAGGGTTTGGGACTCAAATTTTGTGCACTACTTTGTGGCAAATCTGGAAGCTCGAAACGATAGGGTGTTTCAGAATTCGCATGTTTGCCCGTCGATTGTGGAGTATCTTATTTTTTTTAACATACTTGAGGTAAACTTTTGCAAATATATCCTTATTTTTTTAACATACTTGAGGTAAACGTTTGCAAACATATCCGCATCCTCCAATTTTATGTTCATCATTATTCATGATTTCAAAGTTACATTCAGATATGGCATTTGGAATCTCAATAATTTCATAAATATATTTTTCTTGATATTTTGTAACCCAATGCATTTTATGCCAATTTGTTTTGTTGAAAATTATTTATTCGAAGTATATATTCTTTATCAAACTTATTCAAAAGAGATTTAGAAATATCAAAATGTCTTCATAAATTTGGACTTTAACATTTATAATTCCAATTCAATTGATTTACCACCAACTAATTATAAATCTCCTCAAATGATTTGGTGGTCCTATTGGCGATACAATCAGCTTTCCAATTCGCCTATTTTTCCATGGCTCATAACCAGACATCACGGTTAAAGCCTCTACTATTTACAAAAACTTTATACTGGCAAGAGAGTTTCCACGGAGACAGAAGTGAAGAAAAGTGGAGAAAACAAAGTGGAAGAAACAAGCACGTCACAAAAATAGCTATATAACCATAATAATTGGATGCATGATGCTGAGTTTATTTTCATATTCTTTTCCTTTTATCAAGATGATAAATAGCCATGTTTTCTTTTAAAGCAACCCCTGAAAAGGGAGAGAAGAAAAAGAATAGAAAAAACAGGTTGCCATCTAGACTCTGAAAATAACTAAACTCAAATTTCAATTTTCCAGTTACCACTGCCAATTAGGGTACAAGATCATTGCCATCTACAAGGCTTACTTAATCATGTCAATGTTTAATTTTCTACCACCTAACTAAGTTGATAATGAAGAATCCTGTGCAACATCTAAAAGGTAAAAAGTATAATCAACTAGTATAACAAAAGCATTGCTCTACTCCATTCACATCCAAATGGCAATAACCATGTGAGCAACAAAATACATGAGCCTTGTGTCATCGTCTCATTGTGTTGTTCCTCCTTTTAACTAATCCGTCCTCCAAAAAAATGGAGCTATCCTCCAGAAATCTTTATCTAAATGTAAGATCACCCTATTCTAACAATTTTTTACAGAATAATTCGCTAAAAATGCAAATATCACCGTATTAATTGGGGGGACACGCCTCCTGAGCTAAAGATCAATGTCATACCTGTGATCTTTTCCAGAATGCAAGGTTATATTCCCTACTCAACTGTCTTCGTTTTACAGAACTAAGCCGTCAGCACTACCACATGAAGTACTGCCAGCAGAGGTACAGTGCAGAGCCGCAACTGAAGCAGTGTTAGTTTCACTCTGTTCAGTTTGATCAACCTGCAAATCAGGCTCTGCTGGCTCCGAAGACTCCTTTATGTCAGGTATGTTATTGGGAACTACTTCAAGATGAATTGGAAGAGCATTGGCATCAGCTGCACTGGGTGCTTTATTCCTCTTACTGACACCATCTGCAATTTTCTCACAAACACCTGAAGATTCTAGTATGGATTGACAATCTCCAGGAATTTTGTTTGTCTGGAGATCAATTGTTTTGGAATTCTCTTCACAATTAACAGGAAAATGTTTGGTAATATTCTGTGATTCAAGATGCATCAAAACATTGGTTGTGAGACCTGCTTCGTCGGAGACACTACAACCATTGGATCTAGAATGAGAACCAGGTTTATCATCAAGTATTACATCAATATCAGCAGGAAGAAAACCGGTATCAGCTTCACTGGATGCTTTATTCGTCTCACTGACTCCATCAGCAATTTTCTCACAAATACCTGAAGATAATAATAGTATGGATTGAGAATCTCCAGGACTTTTGTTTGTTTGGAGATCAATGGTCTTGGAATAACATACTTCTGCTTCATTAGCAATTGGCACACTAACAACACTTGAATTGCTTTCACAACTAACAGGCAAATCTTGGGTAATATTCTGTGATTCAATGTTCATCAAGATGTTTGTTGGGAGACTTGCTACGCCGGCGGCACTATCACCATCTGGTACAGAATGAGTGCTACAAACATTGTCAAATTGAGTATATGCTTCTTCTGATCCAATACTGCCAGGTTGAGCACAGTCGGTCTTAAATCTCAGTTCACAGCTGCCAAAAATCTTGTGTGAATCATGGTTACTGTCAGCAGAATATTTTGATTCCCTTGTCCTGACCACAACTTGTGAGTCAATAGGAATATTTTCTGCCCCAGAGAGTGTAGATTTTTCAGCACTGATGTTATTTAAACCAACCTCAGTTGTTACTTTGACCTTGTTTGGACAATTTTCAGTAACCTCCAACAATGCACCATCGTAATGTCCAATCTGACATACAACTTGACATGTGCCATCTTTTGGAGATTTATTATTCTGTATGCTGTCGTTAGTAACATCAGGTGTGTTATTCAATGAGTTATCAATTTTCTTGCAACAATCAGATCCAGTTGAGTCTTCCCCGTCCCGTTTTGCTACCTTGGGTGTAGTGTGATTCTTCTGATGATTGGAAACTGTAACAAGTTGCATTATGCAAAACACAAATTCAAACATAGAAAAATGACAACAAATTCAGAACACAAATTCTAACATAGAAAAATGACAACAAATGCAGAACACAAGTTCAAACTTAGAAAAAGGACAACAAAGATGTAGTCTACAAGCATAAGCAACCAAATAATAGATCATGCCAAGCATCTAGGAAAACCTACCTTCAGTAGGAATCAAATTTTCATTAGTAAATTCATGCTTTGATATCTTCTTCTGTAGCATATCTACGTGAGGAAACACCAACAGATTCATGTTCTTTGATATTTGCTTGCTTGTTTGATCAAGTGGCTCAAACCCAAAAACAGAGGTCCAGGTTTCTTTGAGTTCTGATATAGCTGGTATGACTAATAACTCAACATGTAAAGAATTGAGCGCCTATAACAATGAGAGGTTGAGTTTTGAAGTCAGCAAAATGAGAGATCCAAAAAACAACATGAAAGTGCATCATTAACTATCACCCTTAAATTAAAAAGCAAAAACTGCTTTTTTTTACTTTGCCACATACTACCTTTTGTCCTTTTTATGAAAAATGAAAGATTGAATCATCAAGACCAAGGAAGAGTATTTAAAGGAGTTAATATTATGTTCTTTTTCAAAAATAACAAAGTACTAGTTAAGATTGATCTGTTTCTTATAATAGGACAAAATAAAGCAAAGTTTTTTATAAAAAGACCCGCGGGGAATCTAATAGAATGGGTACAGCATAACAATGAACAAGAAAGTAAAGAAGATCTGTGAACAGAAGAAAAATGGTTGTAGGTTAACACGTAACACCATTCACTGTCTATAACCCCCAAGCATCAAGACCAGAAGAAAAATACAAGCTACCAGGGTGTTTAAAAGGGCCTGATCTCTCCTTATTCCACTTCGAACAACTCTCGTCTAGCTGCCTTCAATATATACATAGCCCAACAAATTGACCACTGATACTGACTAATTCTCTCTTTCAGTGTTCAGTTACAACAAGGGCTGCTTATGAAGCTATTCATGATACAATTGTTTATTACAAGAGTAGGGATGTAATTCTTTATAAATAGGACGACACATCTGCATACAATAATACAGTTGTAGCAAACAATAATAGGCTCCCATTCTGTTTCATTGCTTTCTAATAGATTTTACCGAAATATGATACACTCAAGTACATGGTTTTTTATTTTACCTACTGTTTTGGTTACATTTCACTCTTTTACATTATGGAAAATGTATTACTATATTATGGTCGTGTTTGTTTTTGTAATCTGATAAAATGTTATCTAATAGTAAGAAGGCTAAATATTTTTGTTGAATTTATGTTCAACTGATGTGATTTACACAACATAGTTGATTTTTATTGAACTATTTTAAAATATTTATAAACATAGTTGATTTTCATTTTCTCCACTTTCTAGAAATAAAAGAAAAAATTAATCAATATAAGATTCCTATTTTAAAAAAGGCATTAAGCAAACCATGTCAAATGTCCTATTGCTTCAGTGTCTAACTACAACAGTATCCCACCCTAAGTTAATATGGTGCAGATCATTTCCTTTTGAAAAACGTGACAGAGGCAAGATTAACCAGAAGGAAAAAAAATTCCAGGCTAAAAGAACTTTTTGGCGATCAAGGATAAGAACATAATTGAAAAAATAGAAAAAGCAAATAATTGAAAATTGTTATAAACTAATTCAAAAATGAGCAAGCCAAATTCTGTGCAGCTAAAACTGAAGAGACGTGTATAAAATGCTGAGCTTACCCATTCTATGGCATTTAGAAGCCGACGGCACATTCCTTGTCGCCTATACATATAGCGGGTTCCGATGAATGGCATCTCTGCAAGTTGGTTCCCATGGATCCTATTTGATCAATTAAAAAACTATAATAATCAGAACAAAAATATGTCTCTTCCATTAATTAAAAGAAAATACTTCTCCAACACTTGCTAGCTGGGCAGGGAAGTAAAGCTATACACAGGGAAACTTTGTTTTAGCTATACCACAAAAATTCAAGGAAAAATTTATGATTATGATATCTTATTATAGATGAGTGACGAAACTTCACAAAAGGAATACCATTCAACTCTAAATCTCTGTTAACATTTTGGCTTATAGTTTACCATGGTCTCTCTCTTACTTTGTCATCAGACCTTACTGTTTTTTAGATCATAATTCATAAGATAAAATATCAACAAGCACATTTTTTAACAGATTGAAGCATGTGTTTAGTTTTATTTAGTAGCAAACCAAATATTTTTGTAACAATAAGAACCAATATCCGAATATGTAACTATTATGTGTAGGGCAACCTTTTAGCACCACTCATTCATCATATAGTGATGTTTTAAGTTTTAACTGTTGATGTGCGCACATGATCAACAGCAGATTCCAGTCTAAGTAAGGAAAGGTAATACTGATTATCTTCTGTGCAAAAAATACCTATAACACATTAATTTCAAAAAAAGGTAACTGAAACAAGTACCGAATACACTAAACCATTAAATAAAAGATTCTAAATCCAGCCTTCACCCTGCATTTATGTTAAATATTGACTGCTTATAAAAGCATATATAAACATATCTGAAATTTCAGTGGACAAATACCTGATAGATGCAACACATATGATCTCATCACCTCTCTCTAGAATTGCAGTAATAAATCCACTATAGTTCAGGCGTTTGAAGTTTGACCTAAAAATTGTAACAAGCATGTAAGTACTGCTATGGTATAAGAATAATATTTAACATCTCTAATACAGTAATTAAGTTTTTGATGCATGAATGACACCGTCATTTATTTCTTAAATGCTCTCAGATTTTGCATTAGAACTAACTAATTCTTGCAAAACCTATTTTAAGGTGAGGAATACAACTCTTTATAAGCTATTGTCAGACCTTATTTCTTCATGCCCGGTACCATTGGTTTTGGTGAGTAAATACTATGGCGAGTCACCCAACTGATAGGATAGGATACCATCTAAGATGATACTGCATGACACTTAGATTGTGACCCGAGTGAGTGGCCAAGCAGATCTTAGATAAGCTCTGGCTGTCATCTTAGATTTTGGATTGAGCTTAACTCATTCTTACTCCCAAAAAAACTTGTAAGGCGAGCATGTCTGCCAACTATTATAAACACTTTTTCAGACAATATATCCTCTAATGTGGGACTCCTAATCTTAGTTTAGGAAATTTTATTAAGATTTAACATCTAATTAAAATTTATCTACGCTTTTTATTATCATTACTTATTTAATTAATTGATTTACAATATCGTGAGGTTTAAGAGCCTTATGTAATTTAGATTTTAGGCTTTTGAACAATGAAAAATATTGCCATTTTTGCTTCTTTGGAGAGTATCTAAATCTTGAGAGCACTCCACCCTAAGGGAACACTCCAGGTTTATTACGGAAGAAGCCTGCAGAGAGCATACTCTTGGATTTTTTATCTGGAACAATCCTGTCAAAAGGATCGCTCTTAGATTGTCCTACATAGTTATTGAGCATGAGCATTGAAGAGGTCATACATATATAGCATCAAGTTGAATTGCAGAACATGAAGTTTTAATGCAATAAGTTTAGATAACTCTAGTCAGCTACTTCAACGCACCAGTTAACAATATCTATGTGAAGAACATTCAAGAACCTATCTTTTGGCTTTCGGTATAGGCACGCAGTATTGCTATTGCAAATCACAATATGTAGGAAGTTAAAATATAAAGGAAAAAATGTAGGTGTAGACTTAAAAGAAACACAGCCTTCTATGATTTAATACCTTATAAGTCCAATCTCTCAAGAGGGCCCTAATATGTAGGTAGTTAAAACTATAAAGGAAAAAATCCTGAGAATCTCATAAAAGTTGCTCATCCCCAGTCCCCATAATGTATTATCCCAGAAAACTCTACTACTCAAATAGGTCTTAAAATTTGGATATAGGTCTAACTCAACCCTGGAAAGTAGCTCATGGAGTGAGTGTCCCCACACCCCACTTATAACAACTATTCAAGTCATATCACTATTCAAGTCATATCACATCCGACAAATCCATAACTGAACATCTGGAGCATAATTTTGCAGGACTAGATGTATGTGGGTGTTCATTTAGGATGGACAAACTATATAATACCATCTTAAAATTTGGAATTGAGTTTAGGCCTAACTCAACCCCAAAAGTGAGCACTGGTGTGAGGGTTATCTCCCGCTTATAACAATTACTCAAGTCGTGTCACTATTAAATGTGGGAGTCTTAACAAAAGGAAACTATCCCACGTTTCAATGGCAGATTTATATATATAAACCAGCACTATTCTGTAAGCCCTAAGAGTAAAACTACAGCATATTTATATATATAAACCAGCAAGTTTTGCAACCACCAAGCAATATCTGCAAGGGCAAATGCATGATCTGGACAATGCTAGTTTGATACATAAAAAGAGGCCACTTGAACTTACCCACAGTTGTATACAATACTGTGGATCAGATTGGTCCCACTTCTATGATCAATAAATGGCATGAAGCACTCATTCATTATTGATAATGCAACAGCCAGCTTAGAATTACATTCTACCAGCTGAGGTTTTGTCAGAGAAGCATCAAAGCCAACATCTGATCGCCAAATAAAAGACCAAGAAAACCCATCTTCGATTTCATGTTTAACCCCAAGAAGCCTTTCAAGTCCCTCGGATAACTGGAGGTCAAAATAAAAAATTAACAATTTGTCAGTAGTGATAAATATTAAGCAATATTTATAAAGACAAGATCACAAACAATTGAAATTATAGCAACTACTTAAAGTCAAAACTTAGCCCAGTTCAACTTACAAATATACAACTAACTTAGCATCAACCAGTTGCATACAGTGATCAAAACTCGAGCAGATGAAAAAAAAAATACCATACCTCTTGACATTTGTTTCCGCAAAATAATGCATCCCCGGAATCATCAGTCTTACCACCATTTGCCTCAATACAAGATTTGTGAACTACAAAACGTAAAAAAACCATATTCATTTCTAACTGGGAAGTAACACAGCCCCTCGTGAGAAATAAGTATTTAACTATCAAAGAATATAGATAAGGGCGTACATTTTTCCTCACATAAATGGCATGTGAGCAATGCACGCATAGTAAACTCGTCATTGACAACACTTTGGTTTGAACATCCACCAACCAACCCACAAAATTTGCAACAACAGTAAATGCAGTGCCAGTCACCAGATGGAAACTTCTGCGAGTAAAAAAACAGAAGTTTTATTTCTTAATTAATTTTCAATATACGGATGTGTTATAAAAATGTGAAGTATGACAAGTATATAATAACAATAAGCAAGAGAAATTCAGAAACGTGAAGTATATAAAATAACAATAAGATTTTCCCAATGTGAAGTATATAAAATAACAATAAGATTTTCCCAATGTGAAGTATATAAAATAACAATAAGATTTTCCCAATGTGAAGTATATAAAATAACAATAAGATTTTCCCAATGTGAAGTATATAAAATAACAATAAGATTTTCCCATTAGAAACAAAAAAAAAATCAACAAGCATATATATTTTCACCAAGAAGCAATAGGAAAGAAAAGGCACAGATGTTGAACAAATGTATTAAATTGTCACCAAATTAACATATATTGAAGCCCTTTTTGACAATGAGACCATAGATACTAAAGGAAAAGGGGCAAATGTATAGTTCATAACAGTTGGAATAAATATCCTAATAATAAATTTACAGTGAAAGAATTCTATTAAGATCAGTTATATAAAAATGAATTGAAGTAACTCATGCAACCAGCATCAAGAGACATACTTTTATATCCAAGCAGCTTTTATGGAAGGTTGATGGGCAACCATCACAGCACATCAGGTCTCCACCATCTCCGCAGATACCACATGTATCATCATTAGGATCTTCACCCGCAACATCAACAAAATGAAAACTTCTACGTTCAGATTCATCTTGTTTATTCCACGAATCTAGCAGGCACTGTAGGAGTGAAGTTCCATCCTCCGTATATATACTTTTAAGAGGATCAGATTGTTTGCTTCTTGCATGAACTCCAAAGTCTGAAACTGTTATGATTGAATTACAGCAGCCACAGTGAATACCATCTCCTGTGATACTACCTTCCAGTGGAGCAATTTCCAACTTGTCTTGCATATAATGGACCTTCCCATTTTGAAGGATTGTGCCCAAATCAATCATCCAGGTAAGTACAGTTCGCTTTCCACTGTATGGCACATATCCGTTAATTTTTGAATCTACCTCTTCCGTAGCATCACGGACCAACAGAGCACCTCGTGTCTTGTTCTGAGTTTTGTGCCGCTTACGATCCTTGGCCAGAACCGACAGCCTGTTAGGTGATTTAAAATCTGTATCGCCATCCTCGGCAAGTGATCGTTTCCTTTTCCTTTTCCCTTTCACTGACTTACCCTTGCCTGCACCAGAACCTGGTTTTATTTTTTTCTCTTTTCGACTGACCCCATCAACATTCTTTCCATTCTTCGAACATCTTTTCTTGGTAACAATTCTAGTCAGTAAATTGAAATCTTCCTCGGGTATTGGTGTAAATTTGAATCCTGGTCTGTACAACTTACCTTCACCATTCCCCGCTTCATAATGCTCTTTAAGCCTCTTGTACGCCAAGGTTATTGACCAATGTGTTTTTCCATCCAGGGCAACATATACTGCATCAATATAATCTCTCCCGTTTCTAGGTCTATGGTCAACAGTCCATCCTGCATCCGAGAGACATTCCATTATTTGATTACTCACCAACTGCTTTTGTTCACGTCTTTTAATTCGGTTAGCCGCAGGTTCATTCACAGTATTTGATGTCCTCTTCTTTTTAAACTGTTTACTGGTAACTTTTTTCCCATTTTCATGGCTGGCCTTTCCTTTCCTATTATGTGACACAGTCATGGGATACTTTTGTTGGTCGGTCTTGGGAGGTCTTCCACGCTTACGCGTTGACTGAACTAACTGATCATCCTCTTTTATAACTTCTTTGAGAGGCCTCCCAAGCTTACTCAGTGGCTGATCAACTAATTGACCTTTCTCTTTTATCTCTGTTTTCGGAGGCCTCCCAACCCTACGCGGTGGCTGATCAACTAATTCATCTTTCTCTTTTATCTCTGTTTTTGGAGGCCTCCCAACCCTACGTGGTGGCCGATCAACTAATTCACCTCTCTCTTTTATCTCGGTTTTTGGAGGCCTCCCAACCTTACGCGGTGGCTGGTCAACTAAGTCATCTTTCTCTTTCATCTCTGTTTTCTTACGCGGTGGCTGGTCAACTAAGTCATCTTTCTCTTTTATCTCCGTTTTCGGAGGCCTCCCACGCTTCCGTTTCAATTTCCTCTTGCCCTTCCCTCCCATTTTCACCTTAACTCTTTCATTCTCGTTACCATCAGTAAGAACCCCAACAGCTTCTTTAACCTCATCAAACCCACCAGGTTCTCCATTATTCTCAGCAACCTCATTCCCTCCATCATCAGATTTTTTGTCATCTCCCCACTTTGACATTGACCGCAGTACTCGAGCCCCACTCAACCCTTCATTCTCCTCCATAACAACCTCAGCTTCTACATTACTATCACCATCTTTTAAACAACTCCTAGGGCTACTGTTCCCATTCTCAGCTAAGTCAACATTTCCACTCATGTTAACATTTAAATCCAAACAGCTCTCATTCTCAGCTAAGTCAATATTTTCACTTGGACTCGCATTTAAATCCAAGTCAAATTTTTTTTTCACAGCACATTCAACTTCGCCAGCACTGTCAACTTCACCAGCACATTCAACCTTGTCTTTCTTCTCAATCAACATAGTAGGGGGCTCTAAATCCTCGTTTTTCTTCTCAATCAACAAGGTAGGTGCCTCTAAACCCTCATCCGCGGAAACTAATGCCTCTTCTTTCTTCTCAACCAAAAAGGTAGGTGCCTCTAAACCCTCTTCCGCGGAAACTAATGCCTCTTCTTTCTTCTCAACCAAAAAGGTAGGTGCCTCTAAACCCGTATCCTCTGAAACTAAATCCTCGTCTTTCTTCTCAACCAACGAGGTAGAAGCCTCAAAACCCTCATCACCTGAAACAAAATTTTCATCGTATTTATTCTCAATCAACGACAAAGGTGCCTCGAAACCCTCATCACACGAAACCAAACTATCACTAGCATTCCTCACACAAACCCTTTCCTTCTGAACAACCTTTCCTTCACCAGAAACCTTCCCTGACCGAGTCCTAGATCTCAACCTCATTTCTCACGAAACCCTAACTCTACAAAAACCATAAACCTGAAGTACACCCAAAGAAAAAACAAAAAATACCCATTCAATTCTTAACCGAAAAATCAAACAGTTACAGTGAAGAATACCAAACAAATTCCCGTGTAAGATTCAAAGCAAAATCACCAACACAAATTCTGCAACAAAACGCAAACACCTTAGAAAAAACCCAAGAAAATGATCAGATCAAAATCAAACGATGAAAAAGGTTTGGTAGCTTACCAATGTGAGAGTGATTTAAGAGAAATCAACGAAACCTAAAAGACCGCGCAACGAATTAGAGTGTTTTGAGGAGCATTGTTCCAAAGTAATGTTTGGAATTCAAGGTTTTAGAGAGAGAAATTCTAGAGAGAGAAAATGGAGAGACATGTACGGAGACGGGGGTTTAGGGAGTGAAGAAAGAAACCACCACTACGGAGAAACCGTGTTCACATTTTATAGTGTGCGAGATTTTCTTCGTCTTTTCTTTTTTATTTTGACGGAATTATTCTTTTCTTTTATTGGTAAATTACTTTTTGACTAATATTCTACCTTGAGGAGTTTACTAAATCTTTAACATTGGTTGAAAAAATGAGTTAATCTTTGATATTGTCTTTAGTTTTTGAATTTAAAATTGTTACTATTATTTAGTCAAGATAAAAAATGTTCTGTAAAAAAATGTGAGGTATTTAACATTTGAGTATTTTGTGGTTTTTCAATGTTACAAAATAGGATTAAATATATTTTAATGTGTGAGATATCAATTTTTTAATTTGTTTTTCTTATAAAAATGTTATCTAAAGAATGGTATGATCTTATTTTTAATTTATGATATGATGTTTTCTTGTTGATAAACTAATTAAGATTTTATTATAGAATAAATATTATTTTTTTGTAAAACCAATTTTAAAAAAAAATATTAATAATTATGTTTTTGAAAAAATTACACAAATAACCAAATTTTAAAAATAGATAAAGTAGTTAAGTCAGATGAAATGACGTATACACTCATTTTTATAAGGGAGATGTCATATGAGATGGCGTCTAAATGCATTTGATATCCCATCAACCACTTCATATGGCGCCAAGGTGTAACATATGACTTTTTTTATTTTAAATAATAATAAACTATTTATAAAAAAAATGATATATTTATAATTTAATAACACAATTACATTTCGGGAATAAAAATTACATACAATTTAGTTGTCGCCCGGTAGTTGAAAATGACATGTGGTTCTGCACCAGCATCCTCTCCTAACTCGTTGTGTGACTCTACGATTTTCCTCTTGTAGTTGTGGTTGGGTAGAGGGCCTTGTTAGGTCAATGCGGTCAGGGTCTATAAAACCCATCAGATCACCATATCTGGAAGACTCGCTTTCAAAAAGTCGGTTACTTATTTTCTCAAAGTTTGGTCGTCTTGGTGGGGGTATGGGTTCCATGGGTGGTCGATAGCACTGGTCATCAGAATAAGTGGAGTACAAAGGAAATGAATCTTGTGGAGTTTGGTACTCATATGTTTGTTGGGTGCTACGGTGATGTGATGGTTGAAGGTATGTTGGGTCGATTGGAGAATATTCCTCGAGTAGGCCCATGTATGGACTAAGGTGAGATGTTAAGGGACCCACATCAGGATGTCAGATGTATGATCTTTGTTATTGATAATGTGACTGTGTGTGTGGCATGTGTGTGTATTGGTATTGGTCTTGGGATTGAGGTTGGGTGTTTGTGGATCGGTAACGTCGTTGTATTGGTTGAGAGGTGATGTGTGTTGGGTTTGTTGTTGGGTGGCGTATGGATGTTTGTAATGTTGTTGGGAATTTGAAGACGACGCAACTCGTGTGTGTGGGTCGATCAAATACCTCAGGTCGTACACAAACATTTGAGGAGTAATAACTGATTCGTACCAACGTAAATATTCTTCTGTGTGTTGCATTTTTTGGTTTGCGGAGACGACAGGGAATTGTAGCACATGTCAGTCGCACCTCTTCCACATATGACACCATTCTTTAGCGTATTTTCCAATTATTATAATTCCTTTGTGCGTCGACTCTAAATAGATGCCAAAGTGACAAACAAGACGGGGATCTGGTATTTCTTGATGCATGTCGACTTGTATTTTGACACAGTTGATGTGGTGCATCTCCATAATGTTGAACCGTATGATCGTAGATGAAGGTGAAGAAAACACTTAGAAGGGGGGGGTTGAATAAGTGACTCTTTTTCTTTTTCTTAAAGGCACAACAATAAAGGGAAGACAAGGTTATTTTTATCCTGGTTCATTTGAACTCAAACTACTCCAGTCCACCCGCCAAGGTGATTTCGTCTTTCTCAACAAGGACTTAGTCCACTATAATCAACTGATTACAATCACACAACAACTGTTGTGACTAACAATGCACAAGTAATCTTACAAGTGACTAACACCACCAAGACTTAACTAGTCCCAGTCTACTTGAGAATTCTGACCAACCTTGGTCTCTCAAGGAACAATTACAAGATATAAATCTTTACAAATAGTGAAACAAAGTTTGCTTCTAAGAAAGCTATATCACAACGGTGATTTTTCACTAAGAATATTATAGCACAAAGTGTATGAATAATGTTTGTGAGCCCAAAATATTTTGTGTTGCTTTTGCTTCTTTTGAATTTGTTCAGTTCTATTCACAACTTCAGGTGTTCAATCTTTCAGCGTTTCAGCAATAGTGTGTTAGAACGGTTAGATAGCTTGTAATAAATGTCCTTCTATATATAGTAAGAAGAAAAAGACTGTTGTTGCCTTCAAAAAGTGGAGAGCATTAAATGCTTGCGTGTTTCTTTGCATTATTCTATTTTCCAAGAACTAGCGTAGACACTTGAGTGCTTGCAGCCGTCTTTGCATTAAATGAGCAAATGACACTTGTAAGAATATGTTTCCTGAAGCTTGACAAGACAAGTTGGTTTTTACATTCTTTCAGAACTTGCTTTAACGTCTTGTATTCAGAACATGCTTTGCTTATCTTCTAAACAATGCTTTGCTTGCTAAGAACTTGATCAGCGCTTGCTTTCAAGTAACCTTCTGAACAGCACTTGCTTTCAAGTAATCTTCTGAACAAGGAATCCTGCTAAGTGTTAGAAGATGCATTTAAATAATTGTCTTACCAGAGTCAGCATCAGCAATTGCGCTTAAAGCAAATAGTTCGTTCACTTAAAGAACTTCTTCATATAATTTTTAGCTCAGCACATCAAAATGCTTCTGTCAGAACATTATCTGAAACATTCAAATACGTTCATCAGAGTATAAATTATCTAAAATATAATTTATTGTTATCATCAAAACTCTGAGATAGATCACAACTAATCTTGTTCTAACAATCTCCCCCTTTTTGATGATGACAAAAATTATTCAAATATAGAAATAAAATATAAAAAGAGTGTTGTACCCCAAAATTTGCCCTCTCATATTTCTCAAAACATTGCAAGAAAAATCTCCAAGTTGCTCAAGTTTGCTCAAGAGTGGGTCAGACAAATCATCTCCTAAGGCAGTCAACCTCAAATTAGGGTTTTGTGTTGCATCAAGATCCTTGAGTTCAAATGACCTCAAATGCTCCTTAATGTTCTAATATGTTCTCAAGGTCATCCATGTCAAATTTCAAGCCTTGCATAGGAAGTGCTCAGTCAATTGCTCAAAGGGTCCAAAAATCGACTGTGCTAGGGCAAAAGTCAACTATCCCCAAAACTTCAAATTTTGTCAAATGGGCCCATTCTTTTCCACTTGATTTGAGCTTGCATCATTGTCCACGTGTCCTAGCTTCAGCCTTGTGTCCATTTATCAATTTTATTATTTTATTTGATTTTTTATTGAATTATTTCATTTTTAATCAAATTAAATCAAATAAAATCCAAATATTGATTGCTTGATATCTTTTTGGCTATTTCAGGACTGAATCATCATCATCAAGTGTATCAAACTCGTATCAAGCATTCCATGTGCAAAAAGATTGAGTTTTGGCAATTTTGGAAGGTTTAGTAATGGTGGATCAAATCAAATCTCATGGCATTGATGTGGAAAGATTCAAAACACAAATGTTAACCTAATGCATTCTATCATACATAAGGAGGCTAGAGGGCACGAAAAAGAGGCTAGAGGCTGCAAGAAACAACCAAACCAAACTTGAAAAAAGTGGTAAAAAGTGTAAACCCAAAATCACACTTGGAGGCATTTTCAGAAACAAAACTCAATACCAATCGATTGCTGGAGGTTCACTGAGTCAGAACCAATCCCTAGCAAGCCTCCATACACGCTCAAACGCACTGTAAGTATCACACGGTCCCCCTCTGAATTTGATTTCGTATTTCAAAATCCACGCATCATTACAAGAAATCAATGGTATATTTGTAACCACCAGATAATTTCCAAGCTTTCCATATTATTTGATTTCGTTTATCTGCTCTATGGTGCAAAACGCCATTGTTAGGGGTTTTCCTCTTGGATTAGGGTTTTTCATTACAGGTAAAATTAGCCCTATTAATGGCCATGGACGTGACCGGGAGAGGAAGGCGAATACAACCATGGTCTTGGGGGGGATTTATATGGCCTGAGGTGAATTTGGGGAACAACTTAGGCATTTAGCTGCGGATTCAAATCCGCGGGTAACTTCTTTGCAGACCTGAGGACAGGGACGACAACGTGTCTCCCTCTGAGTGGACCTTTCAAATTTTCGCGCACTTTTTTTTATTTTCTGGCATACTAGCGCATTATCTCTTATTATTATTATTATTGCTTAATGTATTAACAACTAAAGCACATTGGCCTAGTGGAAGCAAGCGTTGGCAGTCATGTACAGGACCTGGGTTCGAATCCCAGGTCCCCCATATGCTTTGTTATATTTTTTCTTCAGGTAATCATGTGCTAATCCAAGTGTGAGGTCTATCATGCACTCTCAAACATTCAATGGACAGATGGCCATAGGCCAGATCTGATGGCCAAGAGATGATGCTCCATCATGGACCAA